AGGCTCTCTCTCTCTCTCTCTGTTAAATGAATGAATGAATGAATGAATGAATAAAATCTTAAAAAAAAAAAAACCCAAAAACAAAAACAGAAGCCAGATTACAACAATCCCCGATGGTGGCCCTGCAGTGGTTGCCCATAGCACTCAGATAAGCCCAAAGTCCTTTCCATGGCCCAAAGGATCTGTCCCCACTACCAAATAATCATCTACCTGATTTTATCTTATTTATTACCTTTCAACCTTTTTTCATTCAGTTCTAGTCTCATTCAGCTTTTTTCAGACTCTTCTCATTCAGCTCCAGGCACACTGCCCTCCTAGCCTTTGCTACTTGTTCCCTTTGGCCTGGAGTGTCAGATATCCACAAGGCTCACCCTCACTTTCTTACAGATCTGTCCAGATATGTCCCTTTAGAAGAGAGATTTTTTCCTGCTTACCTTATCTAAAATTGCACTCTTTCTTGTCTATTCTCTTACCTTTCTTTATTGTTCAAAAAAACAACAGCAACAACCACAACATTAATATGCAGTTACGTGCCAGGTACCATTGTAAGCCATTTGTCTTTAAACCTCACATCACCCTGTAAAGTAGATAACTTTACTATCCCTGTTTTGTAGATGAAGAAACAGAGGTACACAGAGGTTAAATAGCTTGTGCCAAGGTCACAAAGCTAGTTAAGTGCTGGGGCTAAGATTTGAACCCAGGCTGTCTGGCTAGAAGCATGTGCTTTTAGCTACTACACTATTTTGCCTCTTTTTAAAATTCTTTATTAAAATTCAGTTTAGTTAACGTAGACCGTATTATTAGTTTCAGGGGTAGAATTTAGTGATTCCTTAGTTGCATATAACACCCAGTGCTCATCACATTAAGTGCCCTCCTAAATACCCATCACCCTATTATCCCATCCCCTCACCGCCTCCCCTCCGGCAACCCTCAGTTTGTTTCCTAGAGCTCAGTGTCTCCTAGAGTTTGCCTCCCTCTCTATTTTCATCTTATTTTATTTTTCCTTCCCTTCCCCTATGTTCATCTGTTTTGTTTCTTAAATTCCACGTATGAGAGAAATCACAGATTTGTTTTTCTCTGACTGACTTATTTCACTTAGCACAATACCCTCTAGTTCCATGCACATTGTTGCAAATGGCACGATTTCATTCTTTTTGATGGCTGAGTAATATTCCATTATATATTACATTTGCAAATATCTTCTCCCATTCTGTAGATTGCTTTTTAGTTTTGTTGACTGTTTCCCTTTTTTGCCTCTGTATAGCCCAGTCACCACCATATTTGTTTAGTAGCTCTCACTCTTCCCACATTGCTGCATAACCAACCATCCAAAAACTTAGTGGTTAAAAGCAATAATTCATTATTTCTTGGGAAATTGGGTCAGGAATTCAGACAGGGCTTGACTAGGCTGTTCTGCTCCTCTTGGCACTGGCTGGTATCACTCAGCTGCATTCAACCAGTAACTGGGGTTGGCCTGAAAGGTCTCCCAATCTCCACTCATGTTTTGGCACTTTAATGCTCTTCTGTGTGGCCTAACTCTTCACATTGTCTCTTATCAACCTGTAGTACACTTGAAGCTTATTAAAGCATGGCAGCTGGTTTCTCAGAGGGGGGTGTGGAAGCTGCCAGTTCTTTCTAAGACCTTGATTCATAGTCCCAGAACTTCATTTCTGTCACATTCTATCAGTTAAAAAAGAAAAAAAAAAAATCACGAACCTAGCCCATATTCAGATGAAGAGGAAATAGAATCCATCTCTTGACATCCAGAGTGGCATTTATACACATGGAGGGAAGAACTGATGGCTGCCATCTTTGGAGACTATCTTCCACACTACCAGAGTGGAAGTTCCACTAGAGCAGAGACCCTTGTCTGTATTGTTCATTATCATGTCTCTCTAGTGCCTAGAATAGTGCCTGGCACATAATAAGTATCAATAAATATTTATACTGTCCAAGAATTTAAGGGACAGGTGAAAGAAAGAGTCTGAAAAGGCAACGGAAAGGTCTGAAGGAATAGGGGGAAAACCCAGAAGGAGTGTGGCCCAGAAGTCAAGGAGGAAATGAGGGAAAGGAAGGCTGAAAGGCTAGGGCTGCAGGTAGGTTTTGTAATAGTGGCTGGTGGGAGTTAGAGAAATTCATCCTAAGTGGTCGCATTTTCCTCGGAAACGTACATAGGAGGCAGTTTTTAAATTTTCATTTTTAAAATTGTTTACCTAAGGGCCTGGGTAGGTAGAGTTCAGTTAGCAATGTGTGCAGGTTGGGAATAAAAGGCGATAGGAAAGGAGAAATTCCTAGGAGCCGTGTGTTAGTGACTGTTTTAGGCTTAGCAAGATTGCCTGGCCACATGCAAGTCCCGACTGAAGTTGGACACCTTTGGTTTGCAGTGCTGCCAATTCTCAAGGTTATGTTGTTTTAAGCACTGGTGCAAGAGTGGACAAGGTTGGCTGAATTGTTGCAGACTAACGATTTTGCAGGTGGGCGGAGGATCAAGGAGGCAATGGGGCTGAAGGTGAACGTGATAGACCATTTATGCATAGGAACTTCAGACCTTGACTGTATCTGTCGCTGATGGTCTGAATACAGGTTTGCAGGCTCAGGGATGGCACACTGCCTAGCAGCAGAGAGTTCGCATCCACTGTGTGCCAAGGATGGCGGCTGGGGAAAATCTTCCTGAGAGGACTTACCAGCTGCGAGCTGAGTCGGGGTGGGGCTGTGGCTGCGACAAGCAGACTGTTGTGAAACTGTGTGCTGAGCACGCCAACTAGTTTTACTCAGATTGTACATTGGGGAACGCTGTGGGGAATCATAAAAGATACCAATTCATTCCCTCCTACCCCATTCCACCTTTCGGGGTTGCAACCAAGTAACAACAGTGTGGATACTAGGACCAACTGGTGCCGCTTGGCGATGACGTCATCGACGGGGGCGGAAGCGACTACAGTTAGGGTATAGTCCATAGAAGCAGTTTGAAGATATTTTAGCTTTTTCCCTGTAAAGAGTAGCGAACTTATCCTTCTGACTTTTGCAGTTTGAGGTGGCAGCAAAATGCCTGCAGCTCCCACTTTCATCACCACCTGTTACCATGGAAGCTCTCGGGTAGTTAGGCCCCGGCGACTCCATGTTACGTCACCGTCCAAGCGCGTTTTAAGACTGGTGGCTCCGCCCTGTCCTGAGGGAGGGGCAGTACTCCTGAGGACGTCGCCGACAGTGCCTAAGGCCTCGTGGATAAATTTGATCGCTATCAGACGCCGTCGGCGTCTAAGCCCACCTATTTCAGGGGCAATCTCGGCCCGCTTTCACACTAGCTCGCTGCCCTGCAGCCCCGCCCCTTCCTGGGGGCTCCGCCCCCCGTGAATCAGCTGATCTCAGGGACCCGCTGGGCTGAGAAGCTCGCGTCGGATGCAGACTGCGGTGCTGCCGGTGGAGCGTCAGGTGAGCGAGGGTGAGTCTCCGGTCGGCCCTTGGCTTCGCAGGGCTGCCCGGCCCGGCTTTCCTGTGTGCGGGAGGCCGGGGTCCGAAAGAGAGGCGCAGGCCAAGGCCCAGGAGCGCGCTTGGTGACCCACAGAGACGGCGCCCGCGTCTTCCAAAAAACCTGCGTCCGACCGACGGCGCCTGCCCGCCAAACAGCACCCGACGCGGCCCCCTGTCCCGGCCCCAGGTTCTCCCATTCGCCCCCTACTTCCCTCCCCAGACGGGGTGCCACTGCATTGGTCTCAGCGGCGGGAAATTCTTTCACGACCCCCTTTCCCGCCTCCACCCACGCTGCCTTTTCTTCACTCATTGATGAGGATTTATTGAATGCCCACTTTGGGCGCTCAGCACATAAACCGGAGTCCCTGGCCGCGAACCTTGGTGAGTGTCCCAGGAGGGTTTGCCCCAAGGATGCAGATCACGGTGGAGGGTGGACCTAGTGCTTCGGTGGTTTGAAAGGGCGGTTGCAGAAAAAGAAAATGACTTTGAAATTAAGAACTTAATTGTTTAGTTGTTTAACCAAGTCCTTTGGCGTGTCAGGTGAGCCATTAGAGGGTGAGAAGTTCTTTTGAGAGGCGAAGACAGGAAAGTAAGATAGGTCTATCATTAGGAAACGGTCCCGACGCTGGTGTTGGTCCTCTGGGTAATAGGGCTACTTTGGAGACAAGCAACAATAGGTTGGCAGAATTGTACTCTTGCTTACTTAGGGCTTTGATGATGAGGGAAGAGGAAAAACGCACTGGCTGAAGAGGCATATTCAAATACAGTATTCTCTCTAGGATGGAAAAGGAAGTAACTGTTAAACACAAACACAGATCTTTATTGCCTTTTAGATTTTTTGGTGGCTGTAAATGTTCTTTAAAAGGCCTTAAAGAATAAAATTGTGTGATGCGTGTTTTTTCTGAACAGGTATCAAAATTCAGCAAGTTATTGGTCCATTTTCCCCCCCTAGTTTATCATAAATATGAATGATTTCAAGTGACCACTTGACCTGTGAGTTAATGAGTATTTAAAGAATTTAGGTCAGTGAAAAATTTGCAGTAAATTGCAATATTTTAATCTTAATAATATAAGCATGGACTTTGGATATGGACATACCTGACCTCACATCCACTTATTCTTTGATTTGGGGAAAGTTACTTAACTTCTCTGCATTATTTTTCTTATTTCTAAATTGAGGATTAAAGTACCTTCCTCATAATAGCACCTTTACATTTAATGGTTCATGTATTTATTATAGTGCCTGGCAGTGGTAAATATTCAGTACATATTTCCTATTTTTATAATTATTTCTTCCACTATCTCATGACCCACACTGACTCACTGTTTTCTAAATGGAAAAGAGAACTGAATATTTTTAGAAAAGAAATATAATTCACTTTTTAAATTCAAGGGATAGTTTCCAGATAATTTGCTGATAACATTGACTTATAGTTACAGAAAATATGACTTCTGGTTGGTCTGTAGTAACTTTGGTGTTCAGTAAGGGTATTTTAATGTGAAAGATGCTTTTGGAATCTATACCTAGTTTAAATTTATTACTTAGTTTGCAAACTATGATTAGTATCGGCATATTCAGGGTTCATAGTTATAGCAAGAGAAATTCAAAGTTGTTTCACAGTATTAACATTTTTTAATAGATATTCTTTTTTTAAAGATCTTATTTATTTGACAGAGAGAGACAGCGAGCGAGGGAACACAAGCAGGGGGAGTGGGAGAGGGAGGAGCAGGCTTCCCACTGAGCAGGGAGCCCGATGGCGGGACTCAATCCCAGGACCCTGGGATCATGACCTGAGCCGAAGGCAGATGCTTAACGACTGAGCCACCCAGGTGCCCCCCCTACGCTGTCTTGAAGTGTGACCACTGTTACTGCTACCTCCCCCATCACCAAAGAGCCCCCACACATAGAGTGACTGATAAGGAGAGACCCTCATGCCTGGCCACCTGCCTGCCAGGGACAGGTAACACAATCAAGAAATGAGGAAGTCCCACGGAGTGCAGTCCACCATTTTGATACCAACCATGGCTGTTGGGGAGGTGAGGCCAGATCAGAAACATACTCCATGCACTTGCTCTCCCTCCTTCTCTGCTTTACTTCCCTTTCCCCTCGCTTCTACTTCCCTGGGATTGCACGTGACTCCTCACCCTCAAAATTATTAAGTGTTAGCATGTAAGCTTTTGTATCAGGCTCTGTTTCCAGGGAATCTGTGTTAAGACAAATCATAACCATTTTCTAACTAGCAGTAAAATTACAGGTTATAGACAATTTCAGACTAGATTCTTCCACCCTACATTTTTGGAGTCCTTTTCCTTTCTTACTCACTGGGAATTCAAACTATTATGTTTAGTTGAGAATTTGCATTTTTTCCCAATATTTGCATTCTGTCTAAATTTAGCCAGATTATTAGGAATTATGGTTTAATTATAACTGTCCTAGAATATGTAGATTATCACAAGCATTCAACAGACAATAACATGAAGAATAATGTAAAGTTTGTCAGAAACATTAAAAATAAACATCTACACAATGGAGTTGTAGGCAGCTATAAAAAAGAGAACTATACAAAATGACAGGCAGTGATCATCAAAATATATTGTTAGGTGGAGAAAGCAAAATGCTTTTGTGTGTTTTTTGTGGCAAAGAAATGAGGAGAAATAAATTGTAGTCAATAATTTTACTAATATTGCTACTATTACTTTGAAACTGTTATTGGTGTATTTTAGGATTAAACATAAATAATTATGATAATGTCATCAGAGCTAAACTTTTCAGCATAAGAAAAAATAGACATAAATATCAAATCAAACGAATCAAGTAGAAATCATGTCATTTTTTTCTTTTTAAGTAATCTCTATACTCGATGTGGAGCTTGAACTCACAACCCCGAGATTCAGAGTCACATGCTTTACTGACCAAGCTAGCCAGGCACCCCAAAATCATGTTATCTTAAGTTTGATTTGGAAATATTGATATGAACTTATGATTTTTTCCCTTAAAAAAAGCTCTGTCAGCCAAAAGACCTAGAAACAATGATGACTCAATAGTAATAAGCAACCCTAGTACTCAGTTTGTGATCTCTAAATACCATTTTCCATTAAAAAGAACCAAGCATCCATGGAGAAATGGTGGCTGGATATTTAGAACATGAAATCTAAGAAGTTATCAAGAAAGATGTCCTCAAACTGATAGTCACCAGAAGACAGGTGGGTGGAGGGTTGGGTTAAACGGGTGATAGGGATTAAGGAGTGCATTTGTGATGAGCACTGGGTGATGTATGGAAGTGCTGAATCACTATATTGTACACCTGAAACTAATATTACACTGTATGTTAACTAACTGGAACTTAAATAAATACTTAAAAAAAAAGAGAAAGATGTCCCAGGCTCATTTTATGTCAATGGGAGTCATGTCAAAAGGACATAGGAGCCAACTTGAAGGGACTCCCATTTGGCTCAAGATGGGACAATGTGAGTATCAAAAAGAATAATAACTGCAATGGATTGAAACAGATGAAATACACAAAATCCATAAATTTATCTAAACAAAATTGCCACTTGGCGGTTTCTTGGTGTACCAGTTCATGACTCTGAATATTGATAAATAAAGGGGAAAAATCACGTATATCTTATCTTTTATATACAAATTGTTTTTCCAGGGTTATCAGATAATTAATGAGGGGGAAATTCTTCCTTATAGAAGAACTCCAGCTAATAAATGAAGAAGAAATGATAAAGGTAGAAAATTCACTATTATGCAATAATAGAGCTAAGCAACAATCATAAATGGAGGCTAAAATCAATGGAGGTGAAAGATTGGTAAGGAACTTTGTAATGAAGGGTCCGGTTGACACCATCTGAGGCTACTGACCAATCTTAGCTCTACTAAATTTGGGACACCCAGACATTATGTACCAGGAAGTATACGGTGTCATCTGTGATGTATTTTTGGCTAAAGAAAAAAATTTAACCTGAATCTAATCAAGTGTCTAAGATCTGAAACCAAATTACAAGAAATACAGGGGACAGGGAAGTTAAATAAACCACAATAAAGCAAACAGCCAAATCAGAAAGGACAAATACCTTGATTTCTCTAACAAATCAATGGCATGCAAAAAGTGAATTATAAAGTCTTAAGAGACACAACAAACAGGCATTGTGCAGACCTTGTTTGGATCCTGATTTGAACAAATCAGCTGGAAAATGACATTTCTTTCCTCCCCAGCTTGATTGAGGTATAACTGACAAATAAAAATTGCATATATTTAAGGTGTATAAGGTGACACCTTGTACAGATGTATACATCATGAAATGTTCACCACAATCAAGCTAATTAACATCTTTCTCACCTCCCATAGTTAAATTTTTTCTTTCTTTCTTTCTTT